GTATCTAGAAATGTGTGTGCAAAAGTGTATGTACCAGTATAGTTGTGAAGTGCAATACGAAGCTTGGTATAGCTTCTTTTGCGATTACCTGCTGTTTGGGGAAAAACATTTTAACATGATTACACACATAGCATAGCACTAACTTGTAGTGAGTCAGATATTTTGCATTGCCCCATACTACACTCAAGTGAGTAGGTTGCAATTAATTAGGATACAAATTACAGAAAATATGCGGCCACTCAGTGTTTGAGCCTGTAGAGGTCTTTGCTGATTGGTTTCTTCATTTTCTTCAAAGGAATATTAGCCTATTAGGTGTTCAAATCTGTTCTCTTGCTTCTGACCTCAGTGCAAGTTTGTTTATAAGAGATTGTGCTGTTACACTTCAAAGATTGCGCTAATTGGGTAAACTGGTGTGCAAAATAGGAAAAACCTTTTAAGATATGATTACTTGAAGATGATTGGTGCTTGATCTGGATATTTCGCATGCATTGCGTGATGCCTGCAAACACCTATAATTGTAGATTCACATCAAATTTCTGTGCCTTTGATGTGTTCTGCATATCCTGGATAGCTTGCTTCCAATTGAACTATCAGCCATCACTTTCTAATTTTATTATGGTAATGTTGTTTTTTGGCAAACAATATAATGGTAATGGTGAAACTGGGGTAATCAGTACTTCATTTGATCTAGGATAAGTTAGGATAGCTTATTAACATATTCTGACTCCTGTATTATTCATTGTATGTTTATATTGCCCATTAGTTATGTAGGAAGCAATTTTGTTTTCCTAACTAGGTACTTTTTTGGTCAGCTGTTGTGCAGGAAATGTTACGTCACGATAGGATGTTTGCCAAAACATTTGGCCCTGCAAATACTACCCCGCTTATATCAGCAGCTACAAGGGGACATGCTGAAGTTGTCAAATTGTTACTTGAACAAGATGATTTTGGATTGGGAGAAATGGCCAAAGATAATGGCAAAAATGCTTTACATTTTGCTGCTCGACAGGGACATATGGAAATTGTTAAAGCATTACTTGAGAAAGATCCACAGCTAGCAAGACGAAATGATAAGAAAGGTCAAACGGCACTGCATATGGCTGTGAAAGGAACTAACTGTGATGTTCTTAGAGCACTTGTTGATGCTGATCCAGCAATTGTAATGCTGCCCGACAAAAATGGAAACACTGCCTTGCATGTAGCAACAAGGAAAAAGCGAGCAGAGGTATTTATATTGTGTTATTTATATACCATAGCCTATATGATTACCGTATACCTAGAATACATGTACTAGTCTAAAATAAACTTTTAACTCTACCTGCTGATTACACCTTGTTTTACTAGAATGATCAATCAACTACTCCCTCCTATCCAAATTATTTGTCGCCTTTGTACTAGAGCTGTGACAATTAATTTGGATCGGAGGGAGTATTGTTTATCTCTTGGATACATTAGCATTCAGTAGAAGTTGAATCAAATCAGCGATGTACTTCCATTTGATCTTGCAGAAATATTCTGATAAGTTACATTGTTATACTTACACCTTTTGATTAGGGACATCATCCAAGCAAATGCATTAGAAACAAATCATTCTCTAAGCTGATAAGATTGTGTCGTATGCGATGTAAATAATTTCTTAGGCTGCTAATGTGTCTAGTATGAAATGTAAATACTTAGGCTGCAGTTAGCAAAAGCCGTGCTGCTTTGCGCACCAGGTTAGAGCATGACTAACTTTCTAATTGTATGGTGAAAATATTTCGAAATAATTTGTATCATAACTTCTTAATTTACATAAGGCAGTTTTATATCATAAATTTTCACTCGTCTATTACATGTTTTTATCCTGACTGTTATATTTCATGATAAATATGAAAACTTATTGTGGACTTACCGTTCTTAATATGGCCTCACTGTTTCCTATTTCCTGCAGATAGTTATTGTTCTTTTGCGGCTACCAGATACCCATGTCAATGCACTGAACAGAGATCACAAGACTGCTTTTGATATAGCTGAAGGGTTGCCACATTGTGAGGAGTCGTCTGAAATTAAGGATATTTTATCTCAACATGGCGCTCTCAGATCTAGAGAGCTAAATCAGCCTCGAGATGAGCTCCGGAAGACAGTGACAGAGATCAAGAAAGATGTCCACACACAGCTCGAACAGACAAGAAAAACTAACAAAAATGTGCATGGCATTGCTAAGGAACTCAGAAAGTTGCACAGAGAAGGCATCAATAATGCAACGAACTCTGTAACTGTTGTTGCTGTGCTTTTTGCTACCGTTGCTTTCGCAGCTATATTCACTGTACCTGGTGGAAATGACAACAATGGAGTTGCGATTGTTGTCCAGACTGCCTCCTTTAGGATATTCTTCATCTTTAATGCCATAGCTCTGTTCACATCATTGGCGGTGGTCGTGGTTCAAATAACAGTTGTCAGGGGTGAAACAAAGTCCGAGCGAAAGGTTGTTGAGGTGATCAACAAGCTTATGTGGCTGGCATCAGTTTGCACAACCATTTCTTTCATTGCCTCATGCTATATTGTGCTAGGCCGCCATTTCCAATGGGCAGCAATACTGGTTAGTTTAATAGGTGGTGTTACAATGACTGGTGTTCTTGGAACAATGACGTACTTTGTGGTGAAATCAAAGCGCATGAGGAAGATTAGAAAAAAAGAGAAGATGTCGAGAAGAAGCGGCTCAAGCTCCTGGGTTGATAATACTGAAATCTCAGAGACTGAGCTTAATCAAGTGTATGCCTTGTAAAGAGATAGGGTGTTTGAACTCAGCCTTGCCTCTGCAATTGAGAATGTACATGCTTAATCAAGTGTATGCTTTGTAAGACACAGGGTGTTTGAACTCAGCCTCATATCTGGAATCGAGAATGTACATGAAAATTCCAGATGCGCGCATTAACAAATAGATTACTCACATTATTCCTTGATTGTACAATTCCTTTCTGTAATGACAAACAATGCATACCTAAAAGGGAGGCCCATTGTCTAAGGCTCATGCAGTTGAAGAATCCACTGTGCACAATCTGTTGTACAAGTCAGTTGCACTTCTTCTTTCTGTTCCATTTTCCAGCCATCATAACTGTGCACAATCTGTTGTACACGTGAGTTGCACTTTTTTTCCGTTCCATTTTTCCAGCCATCATAACTCACGAGACATACTGTTTTGGTTATTTGGTATGTATGCATCTACTTGTAACCTGTCATCAACCGCACACATACATTTCATGACTTAAGTAAGCTCCTGGCCCCTCATTCTTAATTCTGAACTGTTCCTCAGTTAACATTCTTATACTTTCATGTGGCAATGCGACTGCAGGCTCTGATACTTTTTGTTCCTTTACACAATCAAGCATCATGTTTTGAGGATGCTGATTTTGTATGGACTTCTTATGATGATGCTTTATTGTTTTTATATTTTATTATAGAACAAATTATTAAGTAACTATTAAACCTTTCTCAATGTGACTGCAGGAGTGCAGGCTCCGTTGGTTTTAGTTCCTTTACGGCTCATGTTTTGAGGATGCTGATTCTTTTGGACTTAAACGCATATAATTTTGTTTTATATTGCTCGTATACTACAAATTGTTTAGTAACAATTTAAACCTTCCTCAGCTGAGCGGTAATTTGTTGATCTTGTCCTGAAACCTTGATCTTAAGAATTATTATTTCACTTTGGATCTAAAGTGAGTTACTGTAACTTGCCATTCTTGATTCGTGGTTCTTTTTCAGTCTTTCATTGAACATGGATAGTTTCAAGCAGAAGTATCTAGTTTATTCCCTCGTTGTTCTATTCTTCCGTTGAACATGTAATATATCTAGTAGTATAACAGTTAAGTGTACTCACCTTGCCAATAAGACGACCTGCAGTGATGTTTATTTGTTTACTTAATCCAGAAGTGTATTGTTTATGTGAGGAAACAAATATATCTTCTGTAATTGTTAGGAACAGTTGGACACGCTGTGCTACCCTGGCTGCCCCCCTGCATTACATTGGCATGACCACTACGAATCATTTAAAAGAATCCAAATACATGAACCCCCAATATATCATTATTGTGGAGTTTGACGCTTTGCATGTCGTTGGATAGAAGACCAGGTTCATCACTTTTTTTCGTTTTTGTTTGTTGTACTTACTTTTAGAGGAAGGTTCATCACAATAACCTACCATCACTTTACTCACTGATTAGAAAACTGGTAGCACATGCTAGTGCGGCAATCCAAGAATACTTTAAATCCTTGCATGGCAGTAAAGCGTAAATATTCTTCATATGCCGTGCGTACTATGTACACCTGATAAACAATGCAAACATTTGGCTAACTATGGACCCTGGTACATGCCTGTTAGTTCTAACACTGCTCAACATCATCAGTGTGGTGGGTATGTATGCTTACCTTTGGCTTTAATCTTGTCTTGCCTTTTCTTGACATGCCTTCTTAGTTTAAATTTTATTTGTCTTCACATGACCATTTCTTAGTCATCATCAATGTTCATTTTTGAAGCTAAGCGACACAACGGGCCCTTGGGTGTGTTTCTTTTATATTGATTTGGGATAGATTCTGTCATTCCGATGGTCGGTGTTCTTTTTCCAACAATCATTAAATGCATATTGTGAGATATTATATCTGATATGTTATTGTAGTTTTTACCACAATTGTCTTCTCAAATGAAGAAACCCAATCCAGTATAAACTCCCCCCCCCAGGTCTTCAGTAAAGCTTTTTAGGACAAAAGGGCTGTTAAGAAGTTGTTGCCTCCTATCATTCACACTTTGCATTTCTTCTCCTTTTCCATTTATTTTATTTTTGTCTAATGATTTATAGCTTTAACGGTGTGTAATCGTAGGTAATTCTTACTTTGCATTTCTTCTCTTTTTTCATTCATTTTATTGCACTACTGCTTTTTGTTTGTCACAGCAAGAAAGGTATTTCACCTTTCCTCTTTTGCCTTTCATGTTTTAAGTGCCCGTCACCAGTGACTTGTATTTCTTAAACAAGGTCCCTGACATAGTAGTATATGGAAAATGTTCCTAGGTTGACGTAGAGCCATGAGAATGCATTCAGACCCCTAAATGCACAAGGATCAGCATTTAGAAGAGTGAATCCCAAAATCATATTAACTGATAATACCAAGGTGCAACTTGCCAGAAAAGATTTCATTTTAACACACAATTTTGGAGTCTTTTGGGTTACTTTATTTATGCCATTGCCACTCGCATTAGTGTGGTGCCATGTACTAGTATTCAAGTTGCAGTCAGGTTGCATGATAAAAGGTTCATCGTCTTGCCTTCTCTGATAATCTCTTTAATAACTTGTAAAAAAATTGCTTAGTTCCTTACCTATGTTACATCATAGACACACATTTGACACACAAGCTTTTGAGAGTATGTTTCCGTGTTGTGTTCAACAAACAGAAAGCAGGTAGGATTTAATCAGGAACTGATTTGTGCATTTGGAGATAGATAGAGAACCAAGCATGGGACAAAAGTGTCAGCTTTACCCAAAAATAATTGGCTGTCTTCTGTTAACTATGGCTCATTGCATGTGACTTAAGATGCTTGTTTCTGTTGCATCTCTTTTCAGGTATGGACTTGCTACATGTGCAGCTGTAATGTGGATACTGATCAGAGAAAGGTTTGCCTAGATTTAGTTTTTTGGTGGGATTCTATCTGCACTTTGGTACTTCCACAACCATGTCAAGTGCTAAAATACTAGTACTCGGAACATAGTGAACTGTTCATTCATAGACAGAAGTTACATAGCCAAGTTTTTAAGGGGATAGCATGTCTTTAGGAAACATATGATCAGAATACAAATGTGTACAAAATCATCAGGGTGTTGAAATTTTATACCATCTATACTACCGTTGTCTGCAAATCTGAAAAATGTCTTCTGCATCTTCAGATTCTGCAGCTATCTTTGACACTGATGATGACATGAACCGGAAACCTGCATCGCTTGCACTCTTCCTCACTGAGGCCAGTTGCTGCGACTTCTTGCAGTATGCTATTGCACCCTGGATTGGATTATCCATCTCTGAGCTGGCACTGCTGCTCCTCCTGAGCACTGGCCCCAAACCAGAGTCATTTGAGCTCGGGATGTAGGATGATGAATTTGACGAAGAGCATGACGATGATGAGGCAGATGATGTCTTGTTTGATGACGAATATCGGATAATAACACTAGAGAATGACCTCCTATGGCCGTACTCATCTTCTTTAAGCTTCCCTCCCAGTGTGGCACTGTTGCTGATGGGCGAGGTTGTGTACCTGTTGCTTCTGATCTGGCCAAATGGGTTCTTCCTCCAGCTCTTGACCTGGGCGGTGGAGAACTCATTTGCTCTTGGTGCACCACCCTTGTCATCTGGATCCCCTGCTTTAGCTGCAAATATTGTCTTGAGGTAAGCCTTTGATGCCTTGAGCTTGAGACCAAGGTTGAGATTCTTGATGAACTTGAGCTTCTTGGACCATGGCTTCTTTTCGCATGCTGCTTCCACCTCAGCAGCAGCAATACTGGCGGATGCGCACTCGCTGAAGTACTGCTCTGCATTGAGCTCACCACTTGCATAACATGAATTTGCTGGTGAAACGTGGCACGACTGGTATGGTGTCGCCGGGGCAGTGCTCGCGGAGAGGAGGCCCTTGTCAGCTGCGATCTCGAGGAGCCTTTCAACCATTTGGATGCGTGGTGGAAGGTGGAGCGGTAGCAGCTTGCCCTTGTAGAAGAGCTCATCTGCTGGTGATGCCATGGGCTCCCAGTGGTCAACGGGAGCTGACATGTGGAACTCAAACTCCCTCGACTGCTGGGGGGAGGCTGCCATGGCTGTGGTGTAGCAAAGCAAGCTTGCTGTATTGCTGACCACCTTTGCAGCTGCAGGTGAGCTCAGCTCCATGTCTATGTAGTCCTCTTCTTGGAGTGGTTGGTCATGGATTTGGGGGCCATGTCTTGCCATTGTTGGTGCCTGGCCTTGTGTTTCTGGTGAGTTGGTCTCTGGGTTTGGTTTGGTTTTGGCAGAGATGGTGGTTGTGGTTTAGGAAGGAAGTGCAAGGAGCTTGATCAAGCTTTAAAGCCGAATGCCTGTAGCTGAAGAGGTTTGTAAATTGGCTTATACTCCTTTTGAGGGACCCACCTTTCCCCCTATGATCTGCCTCTTGTTTGCATCCTAGTCCCCCCTGTCACGGCTACACGTAATGCAGTACTGTAGTGCACTAGTTACTGTCATTCTCTATTATTGCTCTATTTGTCCCTGCAGTGCATTAGGTGATTAGGTTATTTCACCTGTTCCTTTGCATGTTTCTCCTCTTTCCATGACTTAACCTATTTGTTTGTTTGATGTGTAGGATTACCAGGTAGCCATTAAGTGCTAGGCCAACAAGGTGGCACCTTTACCAATAAGTGACTCGCAAACTGCATCGCGCCTGCTGATATGCAGGGGCCCCAAACCACTTGGTTAGCATGCGAACTGGGATGGTTTTATTGTGGAGTTTCGTATTCTTTCGAGCAAGGGAGTGTAGGAATGTGTTCAGATTCAAAGGCCACAATTCTATCTTGAGGTAAATTACCGCGTGAAACAATATGATTTCAGCAAGACACGTTGAAGTATGCAAAGTTTCTGTGGCGTGGATTTGCTTCCAAGCTACCGGAAATATATTGTTGATGCTTGACCAATTCACGTCCAAAGCTTGCGGTTTTTAAATTCGGAGGGGGAAGGGCGCATGCCCTGAAAACATGGAGCAACCCGCTCTTTGTTTATTTCATCTCCATGTCAACCTATGAAAGTGTGAGGGTGACATCAGTGGCAAGAGATCAGGCCCCTTGTTTAAGTTTCCTGTCCAAGCTGCGCGTGCGCGGCTAGATGTTGTATGTGTCCTTTGTCTTCGTCTCTCCTGCGCTTTGCATCAGCTCCTTTCCTTTGACCCCAGTGTCAACTTTGCCTCTCCGGTGTAATTATTGATTAGTGGGCGTGCAGCCCTGAGCGTGCATTAGCGCTCATCGAGGCCTTTGTGGTGCATTAATAATATCTGTCTTATCTGGTTCTAGGGTTCTCTTGTTCTAAGGTGATCTTGTTTTAGGTGTCTGGCTTGATCAGCATGTTCATTATTCTGACCTAGGCTAAAAACACCTCTTTATTTGAAAGTTACTCACTACCTTTTCACTTCTTATATGCAGATCTTTGACATTAGTGGTGATAACTTGCCTCTGAAGAAACCCTGAGGCAAAAGAACCTGGACAGACCTCGAATTTCGTCAAACAAAGAGGTAGTGGTGCCTGGTAAAAAGTAAATATTTCTGTGCACAAATTATAGTTCTTTATACGCAGATCTTTAGCATCAGTGGTGATAGATTGCCTCTGAAGAAACCCTGAGGCAAAAGAACGTTCCTCAATTTTTTGTCAAACAAAGAGGTATTATTGCCTGGTAAAAAGTAAACATTTCTGTGCACAAATTATAGTCAAGTTGCCATTTGCTACATGTTAGAAGTATTTTATGATATGTTTCTGGACCCTTCTTTATATCTGCTAGTACTCCTGGCACCAGCTAGAGCACTAAGCAAGGTTCCACAAATTGCTTAAAGGTATCATGGGAATGACATCTGCCCCCAATACTAACTCATTGGCATTATTTAATGTAACCTAACACCATATGATAATCTCTATTCCTGTATTCTTTTGCAGGTGAGAGAGCTGATTAGATAGGGATGCCAACTAGGTTAGGTGTCGTATCAAGTGCCTAACACCCCTACTAACACCATACATTGAACATCTATATGAAAAAATATCGCCGTACAAAGTTAACAACTGCAACAGTTAACCCCCTGAATTGCAGGTCTAAAGACAATCGGTATTCCTGTAGCAGTGTTACGTGGTTGCTGGTGGTTGGAACTTGAAAAAGGTTCATGCTGCCCACTACACATTCTTAGGAACCTGGAAACATTATAGAAACGATGCACCACCGCTACAAGAAAATCCACACTCTTACCGACAATAGTTTTTCTGAAACTTTACCGCCATAGTGACATCCCGTGACATAATTATACCGGAGAATTCATGACGCGCGAGTGAGAGGCGACAGTATAAACCCTAAACGATTAGCTTAGGGTAGGCCAGTGGTTATCTTTTCCTTTACAGTAATCTAACAAGCTGCAGGGTGCTTTAACTGCATGAGTTCAAAATATTGGCGCATGCCAAGCGCAGCTGCCGGACATCTCCTGGTGGGAGCCTAATTTCCCCTCTCTCTTTACCCTGTAGAAGGAAAGGAGGGCCCTATCTCTATGAAACCTCTCAGAGCTCGAGGTGTACTTTGCCGCTTCTCCAAACTTGGAAGCGAGCACAAAGGTTCTTTTCTTGCATGAATTATGGGGCCTCTGATCACCAGGGGCAGAAAGTTTGTGCTGAGTTTTGACCGCGTAACTCTCCAGGTTCAGATCTTAATCATTGCTCCGTATGACATATGGCAATAAGCAGTGATCCTGGCTTGGTTTAGATGTTCGAGAAATGGTTAGGCAGGTTATCCCATGATGAGCTAGCTAGCACTCTGTACCTGTAACTATATCGAGCTAAAGCCGGACAAGGGTTCGTGGGTAACTTGGACACTTGGTTACGCCCACTCCACCACAGGTTCCTTTGTACTGTTCCCATACTCTGCGATGTGACTCAACTAGCTGATTGGGAGATAACCTATTTTAGGAGAATGGAACAAACCTCTTTTAGGAGAATGGAACAAAACCTCTTTTATGAGGAGGGGAAAGGAAGGCTTATCTTTATGGCAAAGTTGCACTTGCAGCAGCCACGTGGCCTTCTTTTATCGGAGTGCATGGCAAACCTGTTGGGTACATGCACCACCGCGCTACCTGTTTCACACTTGAGGCGCCAGCCATTCCTGATTCTGCGAAAGCGGTGGATCGCATGCAGACGCGGTGCATCGGCCACGGGCGCTCCACGCTCGTGCTTTCTAATTTTCCTTTTCCCGTCGTTCGAGGCCATATACTCCGTATGATATATCCGTGATGTGATTGATCTGCGGCAAGTAATATGATAATTCAGATGCACGATGTTCTTTGGAAAATCCACATCACGAACTGATTTTTTGAGGGGATCACGAACTGAAACTTACTGTGGAACAAAAGGAAAGAAAGAAAAAACAAGGTCTGTTTTTTTTCTCGAATACGCACAAGAGTGTGTATTATTCATTAAAGAAGAGGGAAGACTCCCCAAGGTCATATGTATAGAATTTAATTACATGTCGGATTTTCCGACACTATCATCCTACTGACTGTGACCGACTATGTCTCGTCCCACATGCCTTCTTCTACCTCCAGTCCGGCCTTATCCCGCTTTAACAGTCCGGCCTTTGCCCACAGTTGTCTTCGCCCGTAATCCGTTGCATTACTTGGGAGAGGGACGGTGTCGTGCCGTTAAACACCACGTCATTTTTGTGTTTCAAAGTAACCACATAGTCATGAGGCATTTAGCTCTTGTTGACTTCCGGCTCGTAGCGGTCGAGTCCTGCCGGGTGCACCACACACTTAACTACTCGTCTGCGAGCGGCTCGAAAGCCGACCTACCCGTGATCCTCCCCAACCAATGCCAGATTTGTTTTGGGAACACGTAGTGGAGTAGCAGGTGCTGGATGGTCTCCTCCCTTTGGTTGCAAAGCGGGCACGTATCCTGATGAGGTAGTCCTCGGCGGGCTAGACGATCCGAGGTCCAGCATCGGTCCTTGAAGGCAAGCCAGGCGAAAAAGCGGCACTGAAGGGGTGCCCGTGAGCCCCATGTGAATGCCGCCGTCGGCGACACCTTGAGGCCCATGAATCTATCCGCGTATATCGAACGAGCTGAGAACTGACCGTTCTTCTTGCAGCTCCACTTTACCACGTCCTCCATGTTCTCTGTGACCTGTGCACCGCTGTAACCCCCGACCATAATTGAAGGAACTGAAGCAGTGCATCGGTTGTGAGGCCCCGACCAATATTGCCTGCCCAACTGTTGTTGTCGAGTGCCTCGAAAACCAACTTCGATTTTCTGATCCTAGGCAGGATCCTTTCATATAGCAGAGGGACCAACTCACATATCTGATATCCGTTGAACCGCTCCCCTCCCACAATAAAGTGAACTTCCCATCGCCCATCGCCATGCTCGCAGTCGCCTGAACCAAAGCAATAGCCTCCGCTGGTACCCTAATCTGGAACTCCGTCCATGGCCTTTCTTTTTCATATCTCTGCAGCCATGGCCATCGGGCTTGTAACGTTTTGTTAAGCCACTGCAAGTTGGGGATCCCAAGTCCATCGGCCCACTTTGGTCTGCACACCACCTCCCAGGCTACGGAGCAATTTCCTCCTATGGCCTCCTTTTTCCCACATGAGAGAAAACCATGACAAATCTTGGCCAATGCTGAGATAGTCTTCACCGGCAAGTCCAAAGCTAGCATGGAGTGCACTGGGATTGCACATAATACCGATTGAATGACCGACCACTTTTCGATAGCATTGTTGTCTTCCAAAGTGGTAAAGCGTCGCCCACTCTATCCATCAGACTCTGAAGTTGTGCTGTCATTTGCTTCCTCAGTGTCAATGGTAACTCGAGGTACTTGCACGGAAACGGGGTTGTGGGGCACCCCAAAGTATCTGTAACCATCCGCATTTCATCTTGTGAGCACCGGATTGGCAGCGCCACGCTCTTGTTCATGTTCATGACCAAACCTGACGCCTGACCAAAGATCTGCAGGATTGCATCACAGGCGTGCGCCTCCAGGTATTTGGTTTGAAGAATACCACCACATCATCAGCAAACATAGAGATCCGTCGTCGTCGCCCCGATCTAGCCATCGGTGCTAATAATCCTTTCTCCGTGGCATACTGGAAGAGGGCTTGGAGTGGCTCCATGCATAGTATGAAGAGCATTGGGGACAGCGGGTCCCCTTGCCTGAACCCCTGACACGCCAAAATTGGTCTTCCC